GTGCGCTCCGTGATTGTGCATCAGCAGGTATCGGTCCATCCGGTCCCATCATATAGCCCATTGGATCCTGTGAGTTCATCAGGCCATTCCAGTCGTACGCAATATTACGCTGATTTCGCTTATGGTACTGACTATTCGGAGTATCGTCTGCATACGTTGACAGATCATCTTCATCGGATTCCGTGACATCTGTTTGCATGGTGGAACGCACAAATCGATCCGGTCCGATGTCATCACTTGTCTTGGAGGTTTTAATCACTGTCTCCGTGGGTTGAATCGATAGGACACGAATATTTGGAAATCCGAGAAAAGCGGACGTGTATTCGCGAGCTACTCGTAGATTGTCTGAGCAACCGGCCCAGTAAAATCGACTCACTGTTTGCGGACCGTCACTTGACGATGTTGCCCCACCCATGGGTTGCATACGATTGGTCTGACTGTCCAGATTTTCATTCGTCCCACTGGACTCGTAGACAAGAGCGTTATTTTTATCCCCATACACGTTCGGATCGCTCATACCGTTCCCGGTGAAGTAGTTTGGTAACGCGTAAGCACCGGTGTCGTCTCCACATGAGCAGAAACGAATTTTATTTAGAGCACAATAGCGACCGATTTCGAACAGGAGCGCGGCACTGGCGAACGCATGTACCAGAGCTTGTTCTCTTGTTCCTGAAATAAAATAAATTTAAACAGGAATAGCTAGTCACAATAAATTCAAAAGAGGACTGCCGTGTTACCGGGATCATTATGTTTCAAGGCTATTTATCAAAAAACCTTTTAATGTGAAGCGATCGTGATCCAGTCGGTTTTATTCAGATGTTATGTTATTGTACGTTGAAATTCAAGGGCTGGATCTGCCCTGGAGGTGGGTTAGGATGGTTTTCGAATCAGTAAAATTAGCTGTAGATGATGAGGAACGAAGAACGCGGCATACATTTTTATAATCATAGTTTGGCAAGATGATGCAAACAAGAGTTATCACCATATGTATGTTATATATTCATCTCGATTCCCCAAAACAATATGAAGATATTAACAATTTTAAGAATAATGTATTTTCTGCAAGTGTTGTCATAAATTTCACTCTGAAAAACACTCCAGGTAGTAACGAATTGAAAAATAACTGAAACTGGACTTTTCTATTCAATTCCTAAAGTTTATATTGTACTGTATCATGGAAATCCGGTTGCGTTATCTTGTTTCAGCCTTCTTACCTCGTTGTAATTCTGGGGACACGTCGGGTAGTTGATGAATAGACGTACAATTCCATCGACGATCTGCGAACGCTTTTGGACAATGATAGCCCACAGCATGTGCGGCACGAAGAACGGCCAACATGGCATAGCCGAATCGTGGATGCGCACAGAAACGCATCTGTCTGCGACGCAGACCCAACTCATTCGACGCTTTCTCACATTCGGCCAGAGTGAACCGTTCTGCAGTACTGTCCACTGGATGCTCAGCACTTTTCGGTAGACGATAAATTCCACTGATGGAAAATTAAATAAAGTGGGTAAATCCATACATCTTATATATATATTACATATTATTAATGTTTGTCAATAATGTGAAGTATTACAACGTGAAATATCAGTATAATTTATTGTCTATTCCCCAGGGTCATAGGCACTGTGCCTGTAATCGATTCCCAATCCGAATGATTGTAACATACATGAACATTTTCACTCTCGTTGATATTTCGAAA